GTATATATATATATATGTATATATATATATATACTTTTAAAAAAGTAAAATAGTAACTATAGCTAAATCACGATGATGATGACGATGAAATTTTTGATGATTATGTTAATGATGAGGGTGATAATGATGAGGATGATATCAATGATGATGTTGGATGACGATAATGATGGTGGTGATGATGTTGATAGCGGTGACATTTTTAATTACCATTTTGGAAAACGTTGATTTTGTTTAGAGGTCCTTTGTCCCAAGACATTTCTTGGTGGCGGTGTAGATGACAGTTGTACACGATATGTCAACTCATCTTGTGAAATATATTGTATCCCACAATTCATTAAAAGTAATCTGACAATCAACGTCACGTGCAATGAATTCGGATATTGGAATCCAGATACGAGTCTTTTGTGTATACGTAAGCAGATTTCCGCATTTTTTAAAAATCATTTTAATTATTATAAGTATAGAGACACTACTAAAATAACTAGTCATACAATAATATAGTACATTATAAATTAAATGTATTTTTACCGGTACTGTATCATTTCTTGTATAATTAACATCATTACACAAAGCATTGAATATATGATAAATATACTTATAATACGAATTAAATCATGTAATTCAATTAGTTTAATTAATTCAAGAAATATAACTGATATATAATCGCAATGATAATTAATATACTGTGTTAATATAAGTTTAGTTTAGTGTATAATTAGACTTTGACGATATGTATTACTATAACACAAGATACAAGAATAACCTTATTGTCCGAAAGGAAATTACATTTGGATATTACATCGCATGAAAACTTTAAAAACTCAAACATATAAATATAAAGGAAGTGTTAGATACAAATTCCGACATAAAGTCAACAATGAATATTATTCGAATTTTCTATTAGCTTGTATATCTATTTGCTAATAGTTTTATACCGGTAGTGTTTATGTATTACGCTGTTTAGATGGATACTACACATGAAAGAATCAAATCTATATTTGCGTATATGACATCATAATTTCGTTTCTTTAATTTTCTGAAGGTGTACCAGACCCGAAATGGGTGACTACAATGGTTCCTGAAACAACACCTACGTTTTCAGTCACTAAAGGTAACTTCAAAGACGTTAGATTTCTTATCCGTCTTATAAACAAAACCACACCCTTTTTTGCATTAAAAACCATAAACCAATTACAAAAATTAACGTTCTCCATTCACCTTTATAGGCTCGGACGTCTAAGAGAGCACTTTTGCTGGACCCCACCGGGAAACCCCTTTTAAAGAATCCTGGTTAAGCGCCTTAATTATAAATTAGAAACTCAGGGATTTAAATCTTGAAAATTAGAATGATTTTTTCACAACTACATGAAATGCGCACTCAATGAAATCATTAGTATACTAAAAACTTTAAACATTGTTTTATTCTATAACTAATAAACAAGGTTTTTACTGTTTGATACGAATTTAATAAGACAGAGTATTTTTCTAGGTTTTTCAGATGTTTACAAAATGTGGATAACGTTTGGTATTGTCGCAAGTGTATGTCTAATTATTATGGTCATCATCGTCATCATCCGGGGTTCAAGGACTGTCACCGGGTAACGTACACATAGTTTTAGCCGTACCAAGCTTTCAACAAACCAAACTAATGATTAATCATTAACATTTTGTTCAGAAACTTAAAATAAATAATAATGAACAACTAAAAAGAATTGATTGTTTATGAAAACATAAACTACACAGACATTGTATATTGTTCAGAGAATATGCATTGTATAATTGTCATGAGTACTTTTCTTGCTTTATTTTCATCCTTCTATATTTTTATTTTAGATCGAATGCTGGTGTTGCTAATCGCCCTCTACCGGTACCAGAACCTGACCCCTATTATTATGAGGATCTATATGATAAAATTGAGACATATCATACACACATTACCAGTAGTGGAGAACGTACAAATGATAATCATAATGGTGGCAGTGCTGATCAGCAACTTGGAATTCAGGAACAATCTGGTTACTTGATAGCAGACAACTCTACAGACGTATCTGCCAATAACCCCGAATTCGTTGACGACTACGCAACTAAGGTGAACCATGGTCATCACCAATTTGGAATTCGAGATGAATTTGGTTACTTGGTAGTAGACAGCTCAACGGCCAACAACTTGGCTACAGATGTAGTAGCTAATTCTGCCAATAACCCCGAATTCGTTGACGACTACGCAACAAAGGTGAACCTTGGTCATCACCAACTTGGAATTCGAGATGAATTTGGTTACTTGATAGTAGATAACTCAACCACTAACATTTTGGCTACAGATGTACTAACTAATTCTGCGGATAACCCCGTCTTCGTTGACGACTACACAACCAAGGTGAGCAATGAAGACCATGACACAAATGGTCAGAGACGTCTCATGAAAGGTCATATTACTTGAAGGTATTGTTGACTGTTACTGAAATCATGAATCAGAGTACTGAACCTGCCATATGGAAAGCCGAATCCACCAAAAATACCAAACACGATCCATTCAACAGCAATTCAATCGTACTTAATTCGACTTCAATGCAAATATCTATTATCTTCCAGTTAAAACTAACATCGCCCAACACAAATGTATTTCGTTTACTCGTTTGCCCAACCAAAGATCGTGAATCCAATTCATTCAGTTGTTTTTCATTCAACTACTGTGTACACCCAACATACGCAGTTGTATATGTCAGTCCATTTAGCTACATTTCAAACGCCGAGTTTTCGAACGACTACAATTCATACGACTACTATGTACACCGAACCATGCAGTGAATTATCAGTTCATTCAGCTACAAACGCCGAGTTTTCAAACGACTACACTTCACCGAAACATGCAGTGCGACTTCACCATCACTATACACTTTTCTTTTTATAAGAACACATTTTATAATAACACTGAGGCTGAAATTACTTTAAAATCAAGAACAAAATAATAACAAATTGAGGCCGAGGTAAAATGTCAAATGAGATTTTTTATTGTTTTTAAAAAATAGAAAAACAAAAAACAAAAAGTATATCTACATCTTTTGTGAAGTAGGTGTGACTATGTAGTACCCTCTATAATTCAGTACAGTATTTGTACCTCCTGTCATTTGGAGCCATTTTTACCTGGGCCTTTTTTCTGGGCCATTTTCTAGGGCCCTTTTTTCAGGGGCTATTTTTCCAGGGCCTACATTTCTGTACAGTGTATACTGCTGTACTATAAACATTTCTATGTTTGAAAAATGTGTAAAATAAGAACAAATTTAGAATATTTTGAACCTGAAAACGGCCAAAAAACACTGAACCTGGGCAAAATTTAACCGGCTTTTTATTTAAAAAAATAAGTGTAGGCCTAATAATAGGATTTATATGTTATGAATAAAGAAAGATTTGATATAACAACAGCAACAGCAACAACAACAACAACAACAACAATAATAACAATTATAATAATAATAACAATAATAATAATAACAATAATAATAATAACAATAATAATAATAATAATAATAATAATAATAATAATAATAAAAATAATAATAATAATCAACTTGTATTTTATATTCGATTCGTAGAGATCACATGTTAGCAACAATCTAATTCTACTAGAATAAAACTTTGACGATATAATGCATTTGGAATGATTAACTGGCTATCATGCCTATAAGATTTAATTAAATTATATCCGTACCGTACTTTTCGTTTTAATCGATAATAATAATAATAATAATAATAATAATAATAATAACAATAACAATAATAATAATAATAATAATAATAATAATAATAATAACAATAATAATAATAATAATAATAACAATAATAATAATGATAATAATAATAACAATAATAATAATAATAATAATAATAATAATAATAATAATAATAATAATAATAATAATAATAATAATAAACTTTTATGTTATATTCGTAGAGATCACATGTTAGCAACAATTTAATTCTACTAGAATAAAACATTGACGGTATAATGCATTTGGAATGATTAACTGTCTATCATGCCTATCAGATTTAATTAAGTTATATCCGTATTTTTCGTTTTAATCGATTACCATTTTCAAAGAATTTCACCCTACTCAATGTTATACAGTAACTTCGCTTTAAAGCCTGTTTTTCACTAGCGAATTTATTCGCGCGAATCGAAAGCGTTGGTTCGCTTCCTGAGCTCTTGATTAGCTGCCCATAGTTTTCGCCTCGCAAAAAGTAGAAACAGTTCCAACTATGTACCAATTTCGCTGAAGCGATATACTTCCGATAGAAATATGAATGAGCATGCGCATGAACGACGCTTTCGATTCGCGCAAATAAATTCACCTAGTGGTAAACCGGCTTTATGCGCGGTAGCTTTGAGACAACAATTAAATTACAGTAATTTGGCCTAATATTAATGATGATGATTGTTTTTTTTCTTCGCAACCAACATATATAACATATAAAACATTAAGTATTAATGTCCATTATTAAATGACTTCCCTACAATGGTGGACAGTCAATCTCACGGAGATGGTCTGAATTCAGAAAACGCTGACGGAACACCACGGTCTTTCCTGTCTCTTATACACATCTAGATAATTGGATTCACGCTCACTGGTTGGGCAAAAGAGTAAACAAAATGTTTTTGTGTTGGACGATGTTAGTTTAACTGGAAGACGTGGCTAATAGATACTTGTCTTAACGTCGAATTAAGTAATTTATGACTGCTTGGTTTCAGTATTCATTAGATAATTTGAGTTTGTATTAGATTGTGTCGCGTATCGTCGTTTGCTTTAGGTGTAAATGGTCACACATTGAATGTGATGGTGGTGAGAGTTTTACCTGAATGGTGTGACTTCCTATTGGATCATTTGTAATATGTTTGAATGTTTTGAATTTGGTGCGATTGGATTTTCCATACTTGTGGTATTGGTTCTACTATCTGTCTTTCTAGTCTGAGGGAAACCTGACAAATATTTTTGTGAGGACGCACAATATCAACAATAAAATATAATACTTTGTTATAAAGGTCTGCAGGACAAGCAGCTGGATATGAAATGGTTCTTAGTTGACATGCTCTATCCCATAACTTGGTTCAGGATGAGTTTATGTGCTTTCTGTTTCTGCCAATAGATTTGGTTTCATTAAAAGTGAGAATTTGTATAGGATCCTTATTCGGAGTGCTTTTTGACATATCTAGTATCTATAGAATATTTTTAATTCTTATGTTCGAATATTTCACATTTCCTTCATGCGCCTTGTTATTCACGTTTGTTTTTCTTTAAGGTTATATGCCGAATGTATACCACAGTTTTTAACATATAATTCAAATTTGGTTTTATGCGTAACAGAAACTCATAGACCCATTGACCATTATCATGTTGAAGTAATCTGCACTTAACTGCAATTGACTTGTGATTTCAATAAAGTATAACAGTGATTGTTGTTTATATACTAAGGTGGACAGCCAAGACCCAGGAAATTGTATACGTTCGATGAAAGCTGATGAAACAACACATTCCTCCCTAATGGTAATTGACTAATCAATTATTTGAGGTGAAAATATTGAAAACAAATTATGAATTTTAAAAAAGTGTTAAAAAATTAAACTAAAACAATATTTATGATGCAATAAACCTATTTAATTAAAGACACAATTTATCCTTGTAATTTTCATATTAAGCTGCTTAAATTCTTTTTTTTTTTTATTATTTTAAAATTCTGTGCTAAACTTGTATTTACCTTTTAATATTATTATTAAGTTTTTCTAAATGTTTTGTAATGGGTCTTTTATTTGACTTTTACCTTGAAATTGTTTTAAATGAACATTGACCTAGGTTTTTTGTATGTTTTCCTTTATTTCTTTTCTGAATAAAGTGATTATTGAGATATAATCCGGCCTATGGTAGTCTAAACAGTGCTTATTAGGGAGTTTAATTTCATTTCATTTATTTCCCTTTTTTAATATATACAAAAATACAATAAAACTTGTAAGAATCTACTCTCATTCATGTCCCCCCCCCCCCCCAGGATCTGGCGGGATTGCCAAAAAGTAAAATAAATTACCATCTAGGTGGTTCTCTATGCTACGGGGGAAACAGAGTTGGCGTTCATAATTCTCTATGCATTTCTTTATAAATATCCTTTGATTAGACTTGCAAAACTAATTATTGACATTAGTTATCCTTGCTTAGAGCTCAATAACATAACGACTTTTATATAACTAAAGTGTATTTATATTTTTTAACATTTTAATACAGTTTGCATTGATCATAACATTATTTTTTTCATCTCGAATATTACAGTATAATGCGATATTCTCGTAATAAAATCTCCATCCCTTTTTTAGGTGTGAGATGTGTTTGACGTGATCTCGACTAAGTATTATTTGATTTGTATTATATAAGTATACATTAATTGATGTTTGTGTATTAGATCACCTCCAATGAAGACGTAATCAATTCTACTGATGACTTCCCTACAATGGTGGACAGTCAATCTCACGGAGATGGTCTGAATTCAGAAAACGCTGACGGAACACCACGGTCTTTCTTAACGGTAATTGACTCTTAAAATGTTCATAATAAATTTAAAAAATAATAAAAAATATAAAATACATATTAAAGTAAAATAGATTAAGAATGGCTTTGTCCACACGCGAATGTTATATGTTTTGGTTATCCTTGCGAAACACATTGTTTACAATTGCTATCCATTGTTTAGGCTTAATGGGTCTCATAAATTATACAGTCAATGTATTTATATATTTTTAATTTGCGGTAATCAGAAAATTTATGAACATAAAATTTTATAGCAATCAGAAAATATATGAACATTTACAATTTAATAGTAATAAATTACGATTTGCTCATATAATCATCATCCATTAATATTGTTTGACGTAATCTACACACAATTGCCGTTTGATTCGTTTTTTTTTATAGTAAAGTATAGCATTACTTGTTATTTATGTGTTAGATCACAACGGATGGAGACGTAACCAATTCTGCCGACAACCCTGTTTTCGTTGACGACTAGACTACAAAACTAAGATGAAATGTCAAGACCTTGTAGAGTCTTCACTTGAAGCTACAAGTCCTGAACAGGAATTAAATATTTGGCATAGTAAATTATATGCGTAATTTATATAGAGATTATATGGGTAATATTCAAATTTGCCATAATTCTATGAAGCACAAATTGAATTCGACATTATACAGGACGAGTATACATGAACACACACAGATATTAACACTGGTTCATTCCTAATACTTTGTATAGTTGTCAATTTAAAACTTGCCTATGCTACTGTTTAGGAAGGAAATATTGAGTTCGTTGTCAAAAAGTAAATAAATTAAAAAAAATATTGAACCGAGGGTGTTTCGTGATTATCGATATACTTTTGCAGGTTGAAAGATCGATACTTTTGAGCTTTTTTGGGATCCCAAACAGGATGAAGCTACTTTTCCCAAACAGGATGAAGCTACTTTTTTGTGGTTGACGGAAAGTTTGTAAGAAGAAAAGTATTGGGGCATGGGAATCAAATTGGATGTATCAAAGAATGAATATTTTGGTTGGAATAGTAAACCGTTGTATAATCGGCATAGAGAAAGAAATTGAGCAACTTAAGGCCAACTCAGACAGCGTCGTACGATGCAGCCCGACGCGATTCATCGTCGAGGACAGTCTTAAGCCGTCGTGAGAAATAGTATACATGTTCAATACTGCGACGCGACTGCCCCCGACGCAAACCATCGCGTCTGCGTTTAACTCACACAGACCCGAAACAAAAACAAATCGCGTCAAGCTGCGTCGTACGACGCTGTCTGAGTTGGCCTTTATTGGACAGATGGATATCTTTAATATACAAAATAAACATGAGAGGACTCAGTAATGAACATTGGAGTACTCTGCACGTAATTGGGCTGATGTTGGATAGAATTACAATACTTAATACATTGGGCAAGATTTGAGAGGTAATTTTTGAAGAAATTAAGTGCGGGTCCACGTCTTCCGTAGAGCGACAATTTATACAAAAGTATATTGTGATCAATGGTATGACAAACCTTGGAAAGATCTATGAAAAGACTAATTTCATGATGTCGGTTTTCAAGTGCGTTAATGTTTGTTAGATCAATAAGGCCCATGGATATACCGTGTTTTCCCCTGAAACAAAACTGTATGTTATAAAGTATGTTGTATTTAAAAATAAATGAAAAATCGTATATTAGGCCTCTTTCCAATGCCTTCGAGAAGATTGATAAAATTCAGATAGAGCGATAGATAATTGGATAGATCAGATTTAATAACCAGTTTTGCATAGGGTACCGTAACGCACGCTAGCTTCACTATGTCTGGGAACACATCGTTGGATAGGGCAAGATTGAAAATATGGTATAAAGGTAGAGATGAAATTAGCAATGTGTTTGATGACTTTGGTGTAAAAATAATTAATGTCGAGTGATTCGTTAGTTTTAAAGGATGTAAGTATTTGTATCACTTCAGTCTCATTGACCGATTAAAAAGATCATTGGTCATTATCCCATCACAATTTAGGGGAGTATTAGATTTCAGATTACTTTTTTTTATCAACAGGTTGATGGTCTCAGGTTGCCCTGATATTATTTGTGTCTAAGGAATGTATTTAATGTTTTTAGTTGATTTTATTAAAGAATGTAATTTGATTTGTTTGTAAATTTTTTTGTTAACTGCAAACTGGCAGTGCAGAAATTTTGCATATAGTTTTTTTTTTATATAATTACGGTACTTTTTTAATAACTTTTTAAATGTGCGTATGTTAGAAATGTTTCATTGGTAATATATTAGATTTGAATAATTATTATATTATTATTTTATTAATTATTAATTATTATTAAAAAAAAATTCTTTATAATTATGCAAATGAGCGTTCTATATTTTATTGGTGTTGTGGATAATCGAGCAGATAATAGCAAAGAGTGTAGAACTGGAAGAGGTCCGACTGGAACGTTAAAAAAGTACTGGCTCGATATAGAATTCGAATAGAGTTCGCTCGAAACACGCCCCCTTCGTACGTGGCAGTGTACTTTTCGAAATAGGATTACGTTCCAACGAAAACCACGAGAGTAACACCTCTTGCTGTTCTATACTGTTTGATAATAGTAAACTACTAAAAAAATTCTTGCCTAGAACTATTGTACTTGTTTCTTAAACCAATGTAATGTTTTGAGTTACGTGTATGAATTGTGGTTACAGTGATACGAGACAAACGTAACACCTTTTAAGTAAACTGTGTAGATAACAAGTAATTAATTGTATTATAATAATGATTCACAAATTATAAAATCTACATAAAATAGTAAAATTCTATGAGATTTGAATTAAAAGTGCAAAAACATGCATATTCAGAAATATGCAAATTTGTGCAATGTGTGAGGTCATATATTTTTATTTTGTGTTGAACATGGAGCAGATACAGTATAATACTCGACAGAAATATTCTTGCCTTATACTATACTTTAAAAAAAAGTTTTTCAGAAAAACAATGTATTGTTTTGATATGGATGGTAAGCTTGTCACCATGATGCGACACATATGGAGCGAACCATTGTAGAGGTGTTCGTCACCTGTTGGCTCGTCTCCATCACTTTTGTATTTTAGTAAGTGAGAAGTAAGTTAAATAAAACTGTAACACTTTTGTGACTTGTACTGTTTATAATTTGGAGTTCGAAGAAACATGTGAAAACATTGCCAGAGCAGCATAGTCCGGCCAGTGGCGGATCCAGGAATTTGAAATGGAGGGGCCCAGAGAGACTTTCAGAGATGGAGGGCCTATAGGCCTACCTCAGCCCCATCATGGTTGGGGCTGCTGAGGTAAGAAAATAGGCCCATGATCATAGCACCTCTAGATGACCGGAAATTGCACTATTAGACTCAAAATTTGAGTAGAATTTTCTTGTTTTCCCATTTTTTTTGTCCATTTTGAAAAATTTAGGGGGGACGGGTCTGCTCCCCCACCCCTTAGTCTGCCACTGCCGGCAGTCGGCTAAACTTGTTATATCCACTGCCTGTGCACTGAACTTTAGGTACCTGGTTCAATTCCATCCATTGTTCTCCTTGTGTTTCAACTAGAGGGCTGAAATGCAAGTTAAAAAAAAAACTGTCTTCTTTTCGGATGAAACGTTTAAGCAGTTGGTTCCATGTTCGATATTGCTCATGTGCATGTTAAAGAACACACTCTTTGAAAAATAGTAGGGGATTGTTTCCCGTTGTACTACCCAATCAGCACCCGGGGCACACTGGAAAAATATTTCGTGGGTTTCCTTAATGAATCTAATACAATCCAACTGCCATAAGCTCTTAAAATATTAGAACCCCAGTCACCACAACTATCGGAGCTATGTATTTCATATAAAAAGCTTCAAATATCCCCAATCACTACACACTAGTGCAGCTTAGCTCAGTCGCCTAAATGTGGTATATCAACAATGCAGCCGCTGAACCATGTGTTTTTCACTTCTGACAGTCGAAACACGTCTGGGAAAATTAAATCATTGATGATTACTGCTTTTAAATTTTCAAACTTTAGTTCGATCGTTCAATATACATTAGTTGCCGCAGTGAGGTGTGCAAACGTGCTTTTAGGCCCACTTTAAAATTTGGTAAAATGATCAACAAAAGCTGCAGCAGACATTGGTAAGTGGCATTTTGTTAAGTATTTGAAGTCCGTTTCAGTATCATTAAATACATTAATAGTTAATCCAGGTTTCATTAAGAGATTGCCATTGTAAAGCAAATTTACAAAATGCTATTTTAAGATATTTTATGATAAAGTGCAAGCCCTGCACGCCCCCTCCCCCCCCCAAAATTACTCGCGTCCCCCCCCAGCCTGTCTCTTATACACATCTACAATGTGCGGATCTGCCAATTCAGTATCCAGTGACCAGTGAAATAATGATGCCAGCGCCTTGTATAATCGCTTGTAAAATCTGCGGATTGTGGAAGTTGCTACATAAATTAAGGTTCTAAAAAAAATGTGCATTGGGTGAAATTTGGTAGACATGTATGCTGGGTTAAGTGGGATGAACACGCACAAGTCAAATAAAATGGACACACACATTAGGGTCAAACAGAATGGATATACCAAACCGGTCAAGTGAACATGTACATTGGATCAAGGAGTGAACTTGAGCACAAGGTCGAGTGGAATGAGCATGTACATTTGGTCAAGTGCAGGGGGAGGGGTGGGGATGTGCATTGGGTCACGTGTATTAGACATGCAAATTAAGTCAAGTTTACCAGACATGCACATGGGTCAGGTGGAGTGAACTTTCACACTGGGTCAAGTGGAGTGAGGGTCTAGTTGCAGTAAACATGCGCAAAAAAACATGTTGTATTAAGGCCGACGCAGCCCGACCCGATTTATCGTCGGGAACAGTCTTAAGCCGTCGTGAGAAATATTAAACACGTTTAATATTCTACTACGCGACTGCCCCCGACGCACACCATCGCGTCTGCGTTCAACTCACACAGACCCGACGCGACAACAAATCGCGTCGGGCTGCGTCGGCACACGCTGTCTGAGTTGGCCTTTACTCTACAGTAAAGCCAAAATAAAACGGTTGTGTTGCCAAATAAATTTAGAAATCAGGGTAAGCCATTAAATACAGTATGTTTACGCTTAACTTAATTCTAATGACCAAGGCCAGCCATCACTCACCTAATATATTTTACTTCGGAAAATAGAAATCACATCATACAAGAATTTTGGCTCGTTCGAATCTGTGCAACACAAATGTTTCCTTTTGGTATTAAAGAGTTAACATTTTCATGCTTTCAGCACAGTTCATGTTAGCATTTTCATGGATTCATAAAGTAATTTCACATAAAATATGACAGAAAAGCAACTAATATAAAACATTAAAAAAAAGCAAATAAAAAAGCACAGTATACTACCGCAATCACGAATTGTTTATATTAAAACGATAAATTTGAGACATAAAACAATCACAATCAATCAGACAAAACCAATTCCCAAAATAAATTTTGTTTCATCATTCATATTTTATTGATCTTTTTGAACAATTAACCACCAGGTACGGCAGAGAAATGGAAGAAATAGTTGGATCCACAGAACGAATTGAGAAGATTCTTTGGTTTATTTGGATTTATTAATTAAATTACTCATTTAATTTAAGTGTTGTTGGCATAAAGCTCTGCAATACACGCCTCAATCTTGCAATCTCTCTATGTCTCCTACTACTTGTTCAGCTGAGAAGACAATCGCATAAAGTTTGCCGGGGAGGAACGGGCAACCCTGTAGGGAATAAATAATAATTCAAATTCTTTAAGATATGTAAAAATCAGTTCGACACTTGTTATTACTTTTCTTACAAAATTTGATGCTGCTTTGTGATTATTTTTACTAATACACAGGATTTAAGTTTGTTGTGACAATTGGGTCAAAGAAAAATTGTATGCCTTAACAGGTCATACAAGATATAATTTACATAATTATAGCAGCATTATGTATATACATCACCAGCATCGCTGACATTGCACATAAATCAACATCTAATAGCCAATCTGGTTGCAGCATTATTTGTGCTAATTCAATGCATTAAAGCAGCTATCCCATCCATGTTTTAGGGTTCGCTTAAAGATTTAGTCATGAGCTCAATTAATGTGGCAAATGATCATGAGATGAGTTGCTTTTAGCATGCTTTAAAGTTTTTCATTCAAGTAAAGATTTCCATTCAACTTAAGCATGATTTAAGCAAGAAAAAAGAAAGCATGATGCAATAATGCTAGTAAGCAGCAAAACAGACCTACTCAAGCATAAGAACACCACCCTACAAACTTACTATGAATATTATAAAACTCATTTTAAAACAACATAAATGTACATACATAAACATTGAAGAAAAATGCAACTTTTAACAAGAAAAAAATAAAAAAAATCTATTCAAATATTTACTTTGTCCTATAATTATAACTGAATTCTATAGTGAAGTATTGAAAAACATATCAGGGATGATTTTTAAATAGCAACATATAGACTCAGTTATTGCTAATAGTTATAACTACATCGCACTTTAATAATTTAGGTTGGTTATTATTTTAACCTGATCTGTGTGTTGTGTGTTGTTCTATGTTATATATTTATTATAAAATATGATAATTGTAATTGACCTTTCAAAACACATGTTAATAAGTTCAGCACAATAAACCATTACCTTTATTGTGAATTAAAAAATGTACATTATTCTACTTCATTGATTCATCATTAAAGTGGCTAATCTGACAGTTGAATAATTTGATTGACATTTTTCTTTATTAATCTTACATCCAACAATTAACTTCCCAATCAGAGGATTAACAAGGTTTTAATCTGTCATTAGCCAATATCCAAACCCTAATAAAATCTGAATTTGGCTAAATGTTTTCATTCAAAATTAGCCAAAAGCAAATGAATTATTGGCAACCGGTGTTAAATTATATTGTTTTGAATAATTAACACTTTATTTGGTTAATCATTTTAATACCAATTAGTGAAACTACTAAAAGATATCATTGTGAGACTTAATGAGTGTGCAGTTGATTTTATAGGGGTAATTTTGTCCTACCTGATGTGGAAATGTACTGAATACTCAGTATGTGCGAAAACAATTGCAAAAAAACTTGATTGAACTATACTTGATTCTCCTGACGCAAATCCAGTTATTGTCTATTCCATCACGACAATAACAATTACTATCAACATTGCAGTGCCCGCTGCATACTTGGACCCGAATTCAACCCTGGCCATCTGGCGCAAGCTTAGTGGTCTAGAGGTATGATGCCAGGCTAGTGATCTGGAGATTGTGGGTCGAGACTTGCGATTTTTTTCGCAATTGTTTTTCGCACGTACTGAATATTCAGTACATTACCACGTCAGGTAGGGAAAAATTACACCTATGCTTGATTCTCCTGACGCAAATCCAGTTATTGTCTATTCCATCAAGACAATAACAATTACTATCAGTTGATTTTACTCAAGAGAAATATAAGAGTAAAAATCATACGGTTAATGCCAATGTTTATACATAGACACCATTATTACAATTATTTATTTCAGAATGACTGCCTCCAATAGGCAATACACATACTCCTGCTAACAAAGCACCCATTGTTTATTCAGAATCTCAAAGTTACAGTTACAGTAAATAAAGACCAAAACATTAATTAGCATTTACCCATTGGCTTAGAACCAGTGGCGTATCAATGGGCCCAGGGGCCATGTGGCTTTCTGAGACTGGGGGCCCCTTTTGGATCTGGGTCAGCAATTCAATTGTGGGATTTTAGATGTGCTCGTTTTTCTAATATTTCTCATTTGTATTCTAGACAGTTTTTAACAACAAAATAAATTATGATATCAGTTGTAGATCAAAGTATTTGAAGTAGAGAGGGAATGGGGCAGGGAAGAACCCCCATCTGTGAAGAGTGGGGTATAAAAGGCATGCTAACCTACCTGGCATAGGTTGGCATATCAGACAAACTAGGCTTAGCCCAACTAGTCTTCAATTAAATAAATTATACACACTGTTTTTTGTTCGACGTCGTAATAATTTACGAAAGTGCGTTCGTTAGGCCTATTGGTTCATCGATCCATGAAAGAAAGACTACATATCTAACTACTCAATAATGTTGGAATATAATAATGTATTGCCTATGTCTTTGATTTTTTTTTCTCTATGTATAGGCCTAAAAAATGAGATAAAATTACCAGACCTTCTTCAAGAGGGGGGAAAACCTTGAATTTTCAAGAACATATTAAAGTCATTAAAAGACTCCTCAGCAGTCAGGAAAGCTCATTTCCGGCCATCTAGAAATCAAAATTCACACTTTCATTTTGGGTTTTTTTGAAAACATTTTGAACCCCCCTCTTTCAAATCCTGTATCTGCCCCTGTCTTACAGACGATCTGAGAGGCATATTATGCTGTTATCTATCAACAAATCCCATTTGGGTAAGGGTGCTAGATCGAGAAACCTGGGGTACCTTTGGGGCCCTGTGGAACGCCGCACGGCCGGGGACCACATAGGCGTTAAGCCACTGTTCAGAACAGCATATTTACAGTAGAAAAAAATGAGTAAAACAAATAATTATCTAATATTATGTCCCTTCTATATTTCATGAATGTGGTAATGCTACTCATTCTTTACAGTCAGTTCTATACAATTTTCAATTGTCAATAATAGGTAACTAACTTATACTTCGATCTAGATTTGCCAGGTATTTATATATAATGCAATATAATACACCTTATCAACTATTAAAAGTTAAACAATTTCAATTCAATTTATCGTTTTCATCCTCTTATAAAAATCAGTGAAAGTAAAGGAGAGGAGAATAATATGAAAACCTGCTTCATTCCCATCCTCTATTCTCTGACTGTGACCATTCTGAATTCCTTAATCTAGATTTTATGCTACTATTATTATTATTACTAAATTAGTGTCACTATCAATACTAAATCAGAATATAGCCAGGCCCTATGTTACCAGCTGTTTCAAAGCCCTGCATTGCACCTTGTTTGTGTGATGTTAAGTATTTGTAGAAGGTCTTAAACCTCTACCCTTTTGAATTCTTAGTATTCTATCATGATCATTAATGCTTCAAATTATCCAAAGTAAAATGATCTACTAATGTACTTATCTTGTCAAATTATACATTATGATTATATACAATATTTACAAGAGATATGAAATCAGAGTAAAACATGTATTTCCCCGAGGCTAACTTTCAATTACAGTTCACATGCTCTATGCTGCTACATTATTATTACCATTATCATCACCGGCTTGCTCTAAATTCAGTATAATAATTAGCGTGTCCCTTAAATGATACCTTGGATACAATGTAAATGGTAATGATCCAATATGTGCTTCTTTCACATACCTGGGGCTCTTGAATAAGCATTGTACTAAACATGGATTTTTGTTTTCATTAAGCCCTGCTCTTAAATAAGCTCAGATGTGCTAATCAGGGATATTCCGATATATTTCATAGTTGAAGCATTCAATCAAGAGAAAATTGCAACTTGCCTTGATGTTTCATTTTATTAAGAAACTATTAAACAACCGATTTCTCTTAAAATTGAAAGTACTGGTATTGCAACAACTCAGATAAACCTACGTATACCACATGGTATCATTTAACACTCAAATAACCTGAAGAAATACGCTTAGAGACCATGGAGGTATTATAGGGAACCTTAAACAAGCGCTCCTCTCAAATAAGTGCAGCACTAAAGCTTCCAAATATTATATAAGTGCCAGGAAGCATAGATCATTTAGAGTACTGCTTTAATTTCTTTTTTAAGGATGTGCTTGTCAAGGCAGATGGTATACTCCTGTGGTGTACATTATTATAAAGGATATGTACATATCAAGACTAGATAAAATGCACTACTAAGCGAAGATAAAAAGGAGGGGTTTACAGTACTTCTGCTATGGTAAGTTGGTCTCCACTAACAATATTACCATGTGATGGTAGGTTTACAGGTATACAGGATTATTGGTGTACAATTAGTTTCTACTTATATATCCTACTACCAATGTCAAAGTGGGGTTTACAGTTAGGCAATATCACAGCTTGTATCTTACCCCTGAGAAGGTGGCTGAGGTTGTGGCTTAGGAACCTTGCCCAAAATACCCTGAATTTCATCTTTTTCAACATAATTCTTCCACAAGTCGTACAACTTCAGAATATATTGAGTAATTTCAAGTATCTGTCAAAAATATTACAAAACATTTAGTACATTTATGGCATTGGCTTCGAATTACAGGGATATGCACTAATATCTAGATGTTTGTATCTCTTCACTATATAAGCAAGTACAAAGAGTCTTTTTAATTGGTCCATGTCAATTTAAATATAAATACAAACATTCTGCATGGAGGGGAGAAAGTTCTACATTGTGCCTGATTGATTCTATATATACAAATGAAAAATGTTACCCATGGGAAAAAAAAAGATGTGCAATCAATTACTATGAAATTATTTTATCATTTTAAGAGAAAAAAAAATACTGCTAAAATTGTTTGTAGCTTGTATTGTAAATGGATTGAATGAACATTACCTTGTCAAGGTCTACACTAAGCTCAGCAAACCAATGCTTAGAGTCCTTCTGTAGTATAACACAAGCCATGTGAAGAGAGGCTGCAAGAAAACAAAACATAACCAATTAGTTATGAGTTGAATGGCTTAGTGGCTAAGATGCCTGCCTTTTAATCCCAGGGTCTTAGGTTCAATTCCTGTGACAACAGGACTTTTTCTCAGGACCAAAAACAACTCCACTCCCTAAGTCTCATAAGGAGACTTCACTGATAAAAGCATCACATTATTTTCATTTATTTAAGAGGGCTGACCTAGGATGCAATGGAAGGGTTACCCTCTTTAAAAAAAAAACAAAAAAAACATATGATTAAACCAAAACGTATATCGCCAGGTATCTATTCGTATCAATAAGAAACCAATGGGTGAACGAATTGGTATACAGTACAGGTAACTAATGAGTAACTTACAGGTAACCAATAGGTAAACCAATATCAACAAACAACATATGAGTAAACCAAAAGGTATATCAACAGACATTTCTTTGTATATAAATAGGCAACCAATTGGTAAACTAACTGGTATGCAGGTAACTAAAATAAGTAAACCAAAGGTATATCAACAGGTAACCAATAGGTAAACCATCAACAAACAACATATAAAGAAACCAAAAGGTATACCAATAGACATCTCTTCATATATCAATAGGTAATCAATAGGTTAACTATTAAACTAAAGCTATATCATAGGTAACCAATGGGTAATCACACATAATTATGAAGATATCAAATGAAATCAGCCCATTGTATAGTTATAGAAAGGTTTTAATATTTACCTAATGCAATCAGGAATGGTGGGTAGAGCAAACTCACATCGGTTCGCAGACTGTCATTAACAATTCTCCTTAAAGAATAAAAAAGGGCCAAATTACAGCGCTATGTTTATCATACCTGAGACAATTACAAATTTATCAATACATAAGTAATTATTAATTCATTATTTTACCATGCAAGTGGAAGAAGCTGCTCTTCTTGGCCCATGTCTGCGACAAATTGGGTCAAAGGCCGATAAGGGTGGTACACCACTAGGCAACAATCCTGAAATTGTCAAAATATAAAAGTAGATATTTGAAAAAAAAAACACTTGAAAATTAGTCTTTCAAATTTATTTCTATGTCATTTCATAATGGTATACTGCATTATATTGTGTTAGATTGGGACTTACCAAACATTCTAAGAGGTAGAACTCACATTCCAATATCTGGGAAAATAAAAAAAAAGAATACCTGGCTGTAATTCATTGGTACAATATACAGACCAATGATCTGGAAAACTAAGACTGGTTACAACACTAGTGTAACCAGTTTTTGTGCCTAGTGACATATTTTAATAGCATACAGTACTATATTCAAAAATTCATCATTCTTTCACTCAACCTTTTACAATATATTTTTTAGCACTAAATTTATAGGATAGTATACTTGTGGTTTACTTCAGCTCAACAGGTATGTGGATGCTGGTATGAATAGGTTTACAAAGAATGAGTTTAGAAATGAATGGAAGAGTTTAAAAGGGTGAGGTTTATAAATGAGTTTACAAAAAGTAGAGTATGAAAGATTTTAGTTGGAAGGAATTTAGAGAATAGGAGTTTAAAAGAAGTGAGATAAAAGAAAATGATTTTAGAAGGAAATGAGTTTAGAAGAAAAGAGTTATATGAAAGAGATTTCAAAAGAAAGTCATGTGGAAGCTTCATGTGGAAGCGGTTTGGCACAGCAGGAACGGTTTGGTTTCCCAACCTCGAGGTCAGGGTTTCAATCCCTTGCTGTGCATTTTGCTTGTGTCCTTGAACAAGGCACCTTATCTGCATTGCTTATCTCCACCCAGGAGTATGAATGGGTACCTGGTGGAGTTGCCTGCTTCTGCGCTGATTACCAACAGCAATACTTAAGCATGTGGACCCAATGACCAGGGACAACAAAGCGCTTTGTAACCTAAAGGAATAGACGCTATATAAATACTAATATAACAAATAATAAACAACATCATAACCATACAGGACACCATTTTAATAAAGGAAGGTCTACAGGTGTGATTATTATCAGTATTATCATTAGGCCCAAAAAAAATAAATTGTTCGTTTGCCCTTCTTTTTTAAAATGAAACTCATTAGATGGAATAAAAATAACCACAGAGGCCTAGAATGGCAATATCTTGCATCAGACAGCAATTTTAGACTAATTTGTAGGGCATCTGGCAAAAAATAAAATAAATTCACTCACAATTTTTTAATTTGTAAAGAAAAAAACTAAAAAAAAAAACTTTTTTAAGTTTTTTGTTTTTCCACCCCTATTTTTTTTTCAGTGAGTTAGGGGCAGGTGGAAGAGGGCAAACAAACAACCTTTTTTTTTGGCCTTATCCTGTATTAAACCTGGAGAAGATGTACTAGTGATAAAAACTTGAACTTACATGTTGAATTCTGTAGTTAAATTCAGGATTCTGAAATGCATAGGCAAATTTGTTTTTCACAATACTCTGACAAGTTCCAATTAATCTGGCATTGGTGAGTACTCCCCATTCCTACATAGACAAGAGGCGACACAGTTTTAGAAAACAGGACGGCAGGTTTTTCCAATATTTATATTCGGTCAATTGTTCTTCAGTTGCTATACTTTGATACAGACTTTGACGAGTAAAAGAGTTCAGGATTTGTAAACTAGACAAGCACGAGAAGCAAGCAAATTTGTTTCTAAATTTTAGAAAGTTTATATCTTTCTAAGATTTTGCATATGTTGTATTGTTGTGTAAAAATTAAATATCTTGGGAGATCAAACTTGTTACAGATTGTTAAAACCATTTATGTGGGAATTGTGATAAAATAATTTTGTAGAAATAATGATGTTCTCACCTCAACTTTTGATGCCAGAAACAAACAAGTTGGAGCCATCAACAGTGGATCAACACATTTCAAAGAGTTTCTGTGGAGAAAAAATGTGCAAATATTTATATAAAGGATCTATTTTATGTGAATATAATAATACAAATATAATGAATGTTTGTATTTTTATTTGTTGAAAGATGGACTGTTCCCTTCAACTTAGCTCCATCTGGTTGAATAGAAAAATCCATCATTCAACTCATGAAAATATTCTTTCTATTGCTCTCATAAACATTGAGTATCTGTAAATAAATCGACAAACATAAGCAAGAAGATAGATATTGTAAAAAACATGTAGCGATTTGTGTGACCAAAAAATAATCTGAAGTCGACTGGAAGGGGATTGCGGTGAACAAGGGCCAGGGGTGACTCCAGTAAGGTCAGTTGAAGGCTTCCCACGTCGTCAGAAAGAAAAACTACAATTGATTAGGGAAAAATATGTATTTTCTAAATATTAGTAGACACTAAAACAGAATAGGTAAGTCTCTGAAACCCATAAATTGTCATATTATTTTGGTCTGCATAAGGAAGATTTTTAGCAAGTGTCCCAACACACCCATCCCCCCCCCCCCCCCCCATCGAGGACCTCAAACTCCCATCGGGTAAATTCTGGCACCACACCTGACAAGGAGCTATCAATCAGAAAATGGTGGCTAAACAAGAAGATAATATAAAACAAGAACGAGTCAGTAGTTAATATGTAATAAACAACAAGGTGCTATTAGAAACCAAGAGAGGTCTATTGGAAATCAAGGTCAGCAATTACAGGAAGGGGTGTTTGTTTAATAAGGGCTTAGCAATACACTAAAGCTATTAAAGCAGGAAGAATCCAGAGGAAAATTAGGGCTAGAATTAGCTTAGGATGGCTATGTGGGAAACAAGCTTATATAAACTGTATAACAAGCTTACCTGGCATAAAATCTCTTAAAATACAGTGTAGCTGTTGCAATAACTAGCTGACGTACTTTTAAAGTCTCTCCAATTGCTTGGATTACTACATAAACAAATATAACAATTCAAGAAAGTGAAAATGTATTAAAAACTAAAACTAAATTTGTATTATAAATATATGTGTGTAAATTTTGCATCTACTAATACTATCTACTTGACAAGATGAAGTCAAAACATTGTTCGTTATTAGGGACAACTTTTTATGTTACATTTTTTTTATTGTTACATTTTTTTTTATTGTTGATTAAGTTAATGAACTTATTATTTATTCCATAGTAAAATTATACATTTTCTTGGAATCAACTATAAGATGTTATGATCAATTACCTGGCATCTGGCTTAAATTTATGACACGCACAGACGGTAAAGGGGACGCAACCTCTACAAAACTGAGGGAGATTGGTCCTTTGATCGCCTAGGTCTAGGAGGTAAGCCTCGGCTTACTTGGTGTAAACTCTATTCATTACTTTTTTAGGCCTCATAGAATCTATGTATGAGGTATATAAAACAAATATTGACTGTTCTAGATTCTGGAAATGTTGAAATCTATAGCCCCTCTTTGATGTGTAGACTGTAGCCTACTATCTTTCCTCGGGCCATAGTAGGTTACGATCTCTACATCACGAGTTTGATTTTGGCGAGTTGATAGGCCGAGCGTTTAAGTGAGGGGCACCGTAACTTACAGCTATATCGGCGCTAGTTCACTCGCTAATATAGTTCCGGTGGTGGAACAAATCTTCTCGGATAAGGACTTTAAACCGTAGGCCCAGTGTACGCATTTGGCTCGAGTGCACTTTAAAGAACCCAGTGCATCGTTTGAGAAGAGTAGGGGGTTTCCCCGGTATACTGGTCCATTCAGTCCCCTGTTGTTTAATGGATATGCCACGTAGGATAATGATTGGCATAGCCTTGGCACTCGTGCCTAAAAAAGAGAAAAGAAATTAACTCGGGGCAATAGATTTCACCATTTCTCTCAAGAGCAGTCAATATTTTTATACTTTAGACATCTGCACTAAATTACCTCCATTATAGAATATAAACACTTTTGTGTATTCATCTTCTGTCAATTTATCCAGGTCTTTTTGTCGCTCTTTCAGAATCACAAGTTTATCCAATAACCATTGATTACTGGAAAGAAAACAAGATTCATTATTGACGAAAGTATAAATTTATACATTTTTGCATTAATAACATGGTCCATAATTAGCAGAGTGTCAGACACCAGATGGACAAAGCAGTAACAGAATGGAGACCCCTGGATGGCAACAGGAACAGGGGAAGACAACATAAAAGATGGAGAGATGAGATCAATACGTTTTGGAGAAGAGTGAATTGGTGCAACGCAGCAAGAGAGAGATTGATTTGGCGCCAACATGCTGAGGCAGTGGACTGAAAATAGCTGATGATGAAATGGTCCAACTTCATCTTTACCAGGTACTGTACTAGTTTTACTCACTTAAAATATATGTTGCTAAATATCACAGACCACCACTTATGCTCATTTTTATATGTAGCTCATGACATCTCATCAACACAAACGCTTTGTGATCATATGTAATGGCAACTTACACCAACATCGGCTCCTATTCACTATAGCTTTTATTAAGTTGGTTGTACAGCGAAAAAGGCAAAAATTATATAGATTTAGTTCTTTGTTTATCAATGTACTGTGTATAGGGCAGCCAACAAAATCAATGTTGACTTGGGAAATTAATTATTAATTAAATATAGTTTGAAATTCCAGTAAAAATGATTTTCGTTCACAAAGTCAGTTGCAGCGCCACATCCTGAACTGAAATGAGCCGTGACCGAAATAAAGCGTGACTGAAATAGGCCTAAGTCTGATCTAATTATATAATTTATTTGTATAATATTTCTACCTTTTATTCATAATACTATATAGTTACTATACATTTTAAAAATTTTATAAGACTGCAATGATTTTTTTTTTTTAATTCAAAAGACACATGTTGTTTAGACGTAATGCTGCCCTCTATAGAAGGAAGATCCCTCACCTACCTATCATCCTCAAAATGTTTTAATTAAAAATTTAAAATGCGTTTCAACTTACCAATGAGAACTCTGCCAAAAATTACCAGCCATTTTAGAATTTACGAAAATGGCACCTCGTTGAAAATGTCATAAATACATCGTGAATAGTGATCTGAAATTGAAGCAAGCAAACATCAAAATATCAGGGGCTAGCCGGCCTGGTAGGCCTAGAGTAGGCGCCTTTGTCACGCAACTAGCGGGTCGTACTCCTTCTTATTACCCTAAAGAGTCAGACTTTACGCATGGCCTAGCCAAGCCTAAGCCTTGGCAGGTTAGTTATATGCAAAGATATATCATGGTAATAATTTGAAATATATTAATTTTAACTACATTCACTTACCTGCCTAGCCTATCTAATACCTCATACTTCTTGTTTCCTGAAGCTCGTATACATACAATGATTTTTTAACCTTTAAATTGTAAAAACGCAAATCACCGTTAAGTTTATGGATGGATAGTATTTTTGGCCAAAGGTATGGAACGCCATACGGACAATATGCTACGAATAGCTTTTTTTTTGTCTGTGTGCCTTTACATTTGAATAAAATGTCATCAAATCTAACAACGTAAGATAAAGTTGATGCAACTTTGTACGATATTAACACATTTTAGGTAAAAATATTATGTTCTATAATAACAAATTAATGCAACATTGTTATATTTAATACATTACAAACAGATATTTTTTTACTTTCATAAATTATAAGAAACTAGGCATATTGGTGCAAAAATGCTATTATCCTGATGGAATTCTCTTCATTGTTACTGATCAGTTTATATCCTTAACCCAGTCAAACGTAAAAGTCAACAATCATCTTTAAAAGATGTTTAACTGCTGAAAAACAACATGGAACAGACTAATTCCAAAATATAAATCTAATGCCATACAATTCCTTAATATGCCGGACCCAATATGTTATATAATCGCTAAGCCACACCGAAGAATGACGCAGTGTGCATGCATACTGCTGTATCGACATGGTGTTTTTTTCTTTGTTGTTGTCTGTCATCGATCGTATTGACAGACGTCTGTCGCGAACGACAATGTCGAAATTTAGACGATATGCCTATCCATCAGAGACATTTAAATCATTCCACGTAAGTTGTCATTATATAGAGCTAGCTAAAAGGTGTTGAGGCTGCTTTTCATCTTTATCATTCACATCTCTGGCCTATACTATAAAGATATATAAAAGAAATACGAGATGGAGAAGAGAATCACCCTTACATCATTTAACTTAATCATTTGACGTAATGTAATGTTAGTCTACTGCCCTCCCTGGTGTTATAAATACAAACAAACTCTTGCATTGAATTAAATTAATTCAGAGATTGTTAATAGTAAAAACAAACATTTTATATCTGATTACGTTTCGATTGTTCATTTGCTCGATTACCTCCGTGCATCGATTTGTTTAAAAGAACATCCGTTTTCTTGAGTGAATTTAGAGTTAATATATGCAAGAATGCTAGGCTGCTATTATTAATTCACAGGAAAAACAATCATATTATTGTATAACCTCTACCAACTAAAATGGAGATTTTTTTTTCCGATTCAGGAAAATAAAAAAAGAAACAATTAGTAAAGATGACGAAGAGGTGGTTCCAGGATATAGATGCCCAACCTCTCCCCAGAAAAAGAGGGAATGAAAAGACAATAAAAGAAAGCAGGAAAAGGGGAGAGAGAAAAGAAAATTGAAAGAGCGCTGAATGGTAATACATCCCCATCATCCCCATAAATGATTTTAATTTGTGTAGTAGTATTTATTTTACTTTAGAATCGACTATTCCACACCTGGTACAAAGATTGTTCTCTGGATCCGCCCCGTTACAGGGGTAGGGTTCCCACTCCCCCGTCGAGGAGGGCTGCCCCCCCCCCCCCCCACGACCCCGATCGGGGAGAAAAACCTCAATTTGTCGGGAGAAAAATATATAGGTCTATATGTATTTTATTATTATTAGAAGCCAAAACCCCAAATTGTCAAATTTTTCGGGAGTGGGTTGGGATACAAATAGATTTTAAATATAGCTTGCCTTAAATTAATTCTTCCTTTTTTCCTGTTATAATTAATATGATTGCGTATTAGATTTTTATTTTAGATTGTTATTTTAGCCTGTATTTATTGAATATTTGATAAGAGAAAATTTTGAGTGATGTATTTGGGAACATACATGTATTTTACAGCTTTCACGTCGAGACTATTGTAAAGTTAAGCCGGAATGTGGAATATTATGAGGCGGAGCAATAGTGAAAGCTTTTTGCCGATAACGGAGGCAAAATGATACGATGATTGGATTATTATGCACAATTATTAGATTCAACTTGTATTACAATTTAATGTTTCGGAAGTGAATAAATAGAGCACCGGCTCATCAATTGCCTAATTATCATTGTGTCATTAAATTTGAATGCACGATTCTGCTTTTCTTTTACTCGTGTGTTAACGTTGGAGCGAAGCGAATGATTTCATTTGCGATTATATAGTTAGAAAGGCACCGGAATGACGGGGGCGTGGCCAACGATTACTTTCAGGTGCTACGCTTGCGCTGACATATGAACACCGACAAACTGCCTGCTCGTTTCCCTGAAATAATTTTATTTTTATAGCAACAATAAACCTAAATATAGTTTAGATTTTTTGTGTGAACGGAGCTTGATGAATGGGTGAAACTCGAATGAACAAAGCAATCCCCTAAGCTTCCTATTGATAACGCTTCTATGCATGGTTTATTAATTATTTTAGTTGTGTATAACAAAGGTAAGAGACCAGGTTCTATTGCATTTTGTTATGTGCTGCAGTGACACGGAAAATAAGACACATGGCTAACTGACGGTTCCAAAAACACTAAACCTCAGTATTTGACTTCCGTTTCTAAAGGAATGACACAATTTTCCATTTTAAATGTTATATATAAATTAAACGTGTTTTAACGTAGACGTTTAATAGTCTCGACGAAAGAATGAGGCAGGTGTATATACTAGGTGGCGTCCTGGCTTTTAGAAGTTGTATTCAGCTATGAATTTGATCATTGTAGTTGAGTCGCGTGCGAAGAGCGGACGACTTCGAAAAACGATACTGATTACGGATTACTTTCGTTTGATAAGAAGCTTGGATCTACAAAGCTATATTCATTGACAGACATCGGATGCAATAGATGACATGGCGCACGATTCATTGCATTATATTTTGTAACGCCATAGCAACGAAACGTGACAGGTGCAAGAACAGATTCTGTAAAGCATCTCGTCCAGTCATGAGGAAAATCAGAATCGACTCTAACTAAACCAAAGTGTACATGGCCGACCTTAATTCATAGAAAAACGGCACAGATTATACTTACTAGGTAGTCATGGCAGAAAGGAATACAAGTATCAGGCCTACAACACAAATGATTGGTTTAACATTGATGGAAACCAGTATGGTAACAGGCGATTACGAGACAACTATACCCACAGATACAGCTGTCTTGACTCGTTCGGTCGGCTTGGGAATTCTTTTTACAATCATCATTATTCTGATTATTTTTGGAAACTTATTGGTTTGTCTTTCCCCTTGGGTTAACATTATGCTCCGGACTGCAACTTATACTCTTCTTGTATCGCTGGCCATGGTCGATTTACTTCTTGGACTCACGGTTCTACCGTTTAGTGCAATCTTTACCATAGCCCAAACGTGGAAATTCGGACCTGTATTTTGCAATATATATGTGTCGTGTGACGTTCTTTTCTGTACCGCGTCTATATTACATTTACTTGTCATTAGTTTAGACAGATATGTAGCCATCGTTAAACCGTTCACTTACAAAAACATTATGTCGAGATCGAAAGCTTTCCTTGGTATTGGTGTTGTATGGAGTATTTCATTTCTCATCTCGTTTCTTCCTATACACCTTGGCTGGAATACAGAATCAGGACATGTACAAAGCTACAGCAATCCGTCGGCCTGCCAACTAGAAACGAATACGCTATTTGCGTTAGTGGATGGAATATTGTTATTTTTTGTACCATTAATACTAATGTGTTGTTTATACTGTAAAATAGTTCTTGTGGCCAGGAATCAGGCTAAAGCTATATCGAGATTATCAGCTCAATTTAACAACAACAGAAAACATCATATAAAAGTTGTAGACGAGCACAAAGCACTCAAAGTAATGGCAATTGTAATGGGTTGTTTTGTCGTCTGCTGGGTCCCATACTTTACACTTTTTACTTTTGGTCCTGTATTTAATTGGAACCTAGATGATTCTGCTTATTTCGTTGTGCTATGGATGGGATATGTTAACTCAATGATTAATCCACTTGTTTATGCCGCAATTAATAGTGAATTTAGGAAAGCATTTTCCATTTTGATATACATGGCGAAGAATAGGACGAGTGATAGACGACTTTCAAATGGATCCATGGTTACTCTAAGAGTTAATGCAGACCGGAATGACTATGAAAGAGTAGAACGTAATGCTCCTTCCGTTTGTTGGGACCCAACTGTTGATGACATTAATATTCCACTCGGGAGAAATATTAATGGATTAGTGTATCCAATTGTTGCGGTTCAGACGTCAAACGAACGAAATACGGGAGACTCGGCACGGAGCAGTAGGTGACTTCCAGTGCCAACGTGTCATGGCAGAGTCTTCATGTGGATGAAAACATCCACTTCATAATTTTAATTCGCAGCCAATATAAATTATTTGCGAAAACTGCTTAAAATTGGTCTTTGTTTACATCACGAAACCTTCCATATAGATATACCGGTACAGTCTTTAAGGGGGAAACCCTCGTTTCTGGATAGAAAAACTGAACGATTGAAGAAATATTTATTGGGCACTTTAATGTACTGTGACATGATGCTATTTTACATACAAATGAAATAATGCTGAATATCTTGCCACGGAGTTTATTTGCTAATGTGGTGGATCATTTAACAGTAGTTTGCCTATGATGTTGTAGGTGTTTGGTAAGATACGACCTTATTAATATTTTAATGAAATTGGAATAACGACAAGACATATGTGAAACAAGGACTGTTATATAGATAAGACGTGCAAATCAGTCACCAAACACAGGCATGAGTATACATAATTTATTAGATTGACAAGATAAATATTACAATATTAAATTTATTAAATGTGCTAATATATTTTTAATGATTTCTAAATTTTTGTTTGACATTTCAATAAATGAATATTTTCTCTATAAGTTTTAAGAGATTGAATTTATCGAGCAACGCTATTTCTGTGCAGGCGCGGAACGCAGATGCGCCCTTGTTCAGCAGTCCACAAGGCCGGCTCCCGACCCAGAGGAAGCGGTTTGGCGCAACGGGAATGGTTTTTTTTCCCAAAATCGAGGTCAGGGTTTCAATCCCTCTCTGAGCATTTCGCTTGTGTCCTTGAGCAAGGCACTCCACCCAGGAGTATAAATGGATACCTGGTGGGGTTGCCGCTACTGCTAATATGGTAGCAACACTTCCGCATGTGGACCCAATGACCAGGGACAAACAATGCGCTTTGTAACCTAACGGAATAGGCGCTATATAAATACTAATATAACAAATTTAAAAAAATAGGGGCCCTGAATGGCCTCCAACGAACCCAGGTCCACAAGGTGATCCAACACATAGAGGCCATGAATGCCGGTCACTAACATAACATGAAGCTGAGCTAAGCATAACTACAGTAATCTAAACCCATTCCCGGTAACCAAATGGACCTAAGCCTGTTTAACATTATTGTTTACATTCCTTAACGTAACGACAATGATTTATTTTTCTTGAAAACCTACAAACCTCTATTCGTTTAATAATAAAGCATTGTATTTGGTAATGCACAATGTATTTCTGCAATCGAATGCTAGGAACTGAAGCCTTAAAATGTCTCGGGGACCATGAGGATTTCTTCTCTGAACTCAACCTCCAGAACCTTGGCGCTCAGCACAGTGACAGCTCCTGCAAGGTTCCCGATATTATGAAGCCATACGGCCCAAGTCCCGGCGTTATACGCCACTGATAAACTACGTGCGTTGCTCTCAGCATGCTCTCATTGGTTGTGTGAGCCACCAAGCGCGAATAATGGCTAAATAAATCACAAATAGCACGGTATTATTCATAAGAGGTTTAAACAATAATTAGTTAATTAGGTTTGACCATGGGATTACAACTCTTTAAGAAAATGTGAAGGACATAGAACAAAACAGTAATTAAATATCATGATCTTGCTTTATATGGAGACCTTGGTGGAAATAACGTTTATTTTAGTACTGATCCTATTTTATGTTTTCAACCCTAGGATAGGCAAGACCAAGGAGCTATTTAACACTAACTTCGATAGGCCTCGTGATTTAATGGAGGTTTTGCACCGAACGGAAATCATTAGCCCCACTGTATACGGATATGGCGCGATATCATTCGGAAAAAGTCAAGCCAAACCATGCCATTTAAAGTAGTTAATGGTAAGCCACAGTGTCCACTTTACTATCAATTTTCAGATCCTCTCTATCCCCTCCCCCAACCCCGTTCAGTAAAACATTCTACCATTTTGAACAGACCAAACTTCTTCCATCACAGAAATTGCTTTAATTGTAATATGTTACTTAAAAAAAAAATAAGAACACATTTTATAAGAACACTGAGGTTGAAATTACTGAAAAATTAAGAACAAATTAAGGCTGAGTTAAAATGTCAAATGAGGTTTTTATTTGTTTTTAAATAGAAATCCAACAAATCTATCTGTACCTTGTTTTCAGTAGGTGTTACTATATAATACCCTCTATAATACAGTAAATATTAATATCCTAACTGTAAAATAATATTTTCTATGTTTAGAAAGTGTTGAAAAATAAGAACAAAATAAGAACATTTTGGGCCTGAAATCGGCCAAAAAATAAGAACACTGAGCCTGGGCAAAATTTTACTGTTTCTTATAAAAAAAAAAAAAAAAAGAGTGTATATTGATTAAACTGCAAGATGTATCAAATTTACGCTTTAGAGACCCTCAGGACCCAAAGCCCTGCCCCCACCCCCACACACCCTTGGTAGATGCTGGCTACTGACCCTGGATGGACTGCCTAACATCTTTAGCTTTAATAAAGTTTAGGTAGATTTTATTGCAGACATGACATTCACGGTTTTGCGTCATACCTCTCACTTCTTACATCAGTGAAAGTTCTATTCGAGATACAATCCCTTCCAAATACACAAACAGTTCAAAAGGGTAAACGGTTGCTCAATTAATGTCAATAATTATAATAATTTTCAAATGTTTAATCTGTAATGTATTTAGATTAAAATGTGTGGGCGTGGCTAGCATACGCGGTCCATATTCATCTGGATGTAGACGATGATTTCCATCAATAAGTTCGCCACTTAACGCTTTAATAATATTCCAATTTAAATAACATTACTATTCATTAACTATGTGGACTTACACAGTAGACAAATGCTCAAAGCCTAAAATTTTTAATTTATCTCATATCAGAATTATAACATAAAATGATATTTTATCAGTCGATTTAACAACCTCTCCCCAACCAAACTGAGAAAAATCAGGCTGGGTCGGGCCTTGCCTTGGTCGGGCGTATAAGTAGACCTAAGATTTTAAACGAAAACTCAGCCCAATTAAATGGACGATCACAGTCCTTGGGCCACTATAGAATGTAATGGACAAGCATTCATTTTATTACTACCAGTATGCTGATCAAATAACAATACGGTAGTATTTCTAAAAAGCGAGGCTGTTACGTCACGGCGACCGTGAGCAACCCCATCTGATGGGTGTATCATTATAATAATAATAATACTGTAATAATAAATAATCAACTTTTATTTATACACTCTGGATTTATTATACATTCTGGATAGACCTACACGTTTTTCAAATACATTTTTAACTATATATTTATATAGGCCTATACAAAATATCAAGTATTACAGTTTAGAGCTTATCATCATAATAATTTATTTATAAATAATGTATCTTTTCAAAAATCCCGTCTTTTTCCTTCAGTTTACCTCATTGAACTTTATTACCGGTATTTCTCATGCTATACGAACAGTGGCGAATCCAGGAATATGAAATAGAGGGGACCCAGGGAAGGATTTTCACAGATGGGATCAATACCTCCTCAGCCACACCATGGTTGGGACAGCGGTAATTAATGATTATGGTACCTGATTGCCGGAAATGGCACTCTTTCAGATATTAAAATATAACTTTCTTCTTCCCCAATATTTTTTTTACAATTTAAAAAAATTAGAGGGTGGGGCGGATGGTCCTCCTTGTATCCGCCACTGAAGAACTAGTGCATTTGCAAAAAAATGTAGGGGATGAGTTGCTTTAAGC